CACAACAATAACTACACATGCTGAATGTAACTAAAACGAAATATTTTTTTATAAATTTTCAAACATAATATACATAAATGCGAACTAAAGTGAATCAATCTAACAATATCATAACCACGAAAAAAACTTGAAATATAAAAAAATTAAGCGAAGCTTGGCTTTGTTAACAAATATGGAAAAATTTTACAAAATTTATGTATTTCTGCGAATTACTTAGAAACCATCTACATGATTATTTAAGCTATAAATACGGTTCAATTACTGAAACTAAAATAATTTTAAAAATATAACTGAAGTTACCTTCCAACACTGATAACTAACCTATCAAAATATATTAACAGCTTTTTCACCACAGATGTGGTGAATATGTGTCGAACATTCGATATCGCTTACAGCAGCTGCTTTAAACTGTTAAATTGTTCAAATCTTCTATATTTAAACAAAAATACAAAATTTATTCATATCATTCAAAAAAAAAATATCCAAAACACATATTTCCTGCTCCTCTCTACACCTTATCAATAACAATTAATGAAATTCTATTTGTACAGTGAATTGAATTGATTCAATAGTCATTGCAGTATTAATTATCATCAACATTTTTGCAACATACTAACAAAAAATTAAATTAATTAAATATTTAATTGGAAAAGAAGAACTTTAATATTTACAAATAAGTATAAAAATATATATATATATATAAATGTGTATGTATTGAAAATAAAAATTATAATGTTATATATAAACATTTATTTTTTCCTTTCCTTTCTGTATTGAACATAAACTATCAGCAGAGAACTTATTAATTAATAATTAAAGCCATTTAACAGATTAAATGAAATTAATGCAAACAAGCATTAGTGGCATGTGCAACAAAAATATGGTAAAGAAAAAATACACTGTAAAATAAAATTTAATAAATACTAAATGAAACTCAATAAGCATTGCGCAGGAAAAATAATAAAAATTAAAGTAGTTAGAGCAAGTGTTTTACAAAAACCCCAACCAAAATCTATTAAAATCTATTAATTACTAATCATTTTAACTAAGAATAATGCTACATTGTATAAAAAATGTTCTTTTTTTGTTTTTGCTCCATTGAACATTAAAAATTATTTAACGATAATAAAATACCGAACAATATCAATAGATGTAATGCGTGTTATAAGTATACATATAATATATAAGCATTAAAGTTTAATATCTATGCATAAATCACAATTTTTTTCTTAGTGTAAGCGATTATAAAAAGAATTTTAGGTACCGTCCATGGGCTTTGTCTAAATAGATTTGCCAAAGCTTGAGTGCAAATTGAAGGAAATTTTGAATAGATTCAAACTTCACAGTTGTATATTTTTAGTGTTATATATAAAAATGTTAAACATACAACAATATATATAAAAATATAAAAACCATTTAAGTTTATATGTTCTTATTCACATTCTCATTGATTTTTTATTATATCTTCATAATATGACTACTTTAGTTAAATGGTATAACAGTCAACATTCTTCCATTTTAACTTCTATTAAAAACTAATACAAATGCAGACATGCACTGAAAGGCAAATAAAAAATAAAGAAATTAGTTAGGTTCCAAAATATAAATATGTTATTTCTATATTTGAAATTAAATATAGAATTATCTCAGTTGCATGGCAATTATCCAATCCAAGTTATTGTCCATCGCATGAATGTGCAACAGTCGCTGGTTACAACGCCTGTTGACTCTATTTGTAGTCCAATAATGTGGAATACAACAGCCAACCACTGTATCTGAAACATGAGAAATGCTACTATCTCTCGCTACAGTAGGTGACAACTCCGAGTATAGTCCAATGATGTGGGATATAGTAGCCAGCGACTAGCCAAAAAAGAACAGAAGGAAGGTCATATCCGATCATATTGCTTAAGCCACACGAATTGATTTTATTCTGCGACTAATTCACAATAAAAAATACTTTTGAAATGTACAAGATACTAATCTATAGTGGTTATATATATAGTTGTAGAATATAAGTCTGTTTTTTAATATATCTAAAAATATTGCTTAAAAGCATATAAGAAAAAGATTCTTATACACCTTCTGTGCTAGAGCCTCGCCAGACTTAATGCTCAATTCATTATGAGATCTTTTCGATTTAGAAATTATCTGGCTATTATCTGAAAATAAAATTTAAGTTAATGAACCATCATTTTCATATTGCCTTCCGTTATACCAGATTCGATTAATCTATTTCTTAATTAATCTTATGTTTAGCTACTGAATTGTTTCTGAATTTGTTATTAATTGTAATTTAATGCTTAATAAGTATATACAATAAAATATAAAAAAGAAGTAAGTTCATCTCCCGTTAATTAATTACCCGTTCGAAAATTTTAATACATTTTCAACATTAATTTAATGTCAATTCTGTTCAATTAATCTTAACGGCTCCAATTAAATATTAAAACCAAAAGTCAATTTCATTTAAAAGAAGGAAAAAAGAAAACTATTTCGGAGTACTCAAAGCATACAGAGACGCCTATATGTATGCTTTAAAAATGTAAATATAAAAAAACAAATTATTATATCTTTAAACTTATTACGCCCTCTCCAATACTTCAATACTTTTTTCTATGCTTTAAAATTGAATATATTAAGGCAAATAAAATATGTATGCATATAAATAATAAAATGCGCACACAAAAATATATATAAATAAATTAAAGTATATAAAATGTGTGCATAAATATGAACAAAAAATTTTCTTAGTTGAAAGCAATTTTCATTAGCACTTAAAACTTTCCGCTCCTCTTGCTCCTCTTACTTAACACAATTACGAGTAAATATAAACTTTAGGTTAGAATAATGAATAACATATAAGAAACAGATCACATATAAGAAATTATTATAAATATTGTATATTGTTAATATTATTATTATTATTATTAAATATTTATAAAGCAAAACTTATTTTGTGTGTTTTACTAAATGTCGATTGAAATCTAATAAAATAAAACAAATAATTAGCATAAGATTTATTAAGAAAATCAAATATCACAAAAAAAAATTAAAATAAAAATCTCTAAATATGCCAATATTTGATTTTGTGTTGCAAATATGAAATTGAAATTGTATGAAATGAATATATGTATTTACATACTAACAATGTAAACACAACAGGAACCTTATGTAAACATTTTAACTTATTTTACATTTTCTGTGCATTTAAATAAAAGATAACAATGAGTTTTTTACATAAAATTTATAATAAATTCTTTCCAATTTCAATACATTTGATATCACCCATCACGGATATATGAAAAGATAAATAGATAAACAGATTAATAGGTTGATGAATAGATATATACATAACAAAGATATATACTCTCAATGGTACGGAACTTTGCTAAAACTGATTCTATCTGCACAGAAGAAGTTCACCCTTATAAAAGAAGACCTTACTTACCTTCGGTGAGGAGTTCCTAATACCAGAAAATAAATGAATAAATAATCATTATCACGATCCATTGAAAAATCAGCTCAGCAGTCATAAATAACGAACTGAAACTATCTTCATAAAATTAACTAAAAATTTTTACAGTTGTGAATGCATTCAATAACAGCTACATCCGCTCTACGTACTGTAAACATAATACATCTATTGTACTTCACTAACTCTAACTAGTCTTTATCCCTAATCGAGACCAATAGTGTTAAAATCAAATAATCATAACGAAGTGTGGGTTACTGTACTACAACGTAGGAATATGGAGGCGGCTTTGATTTATAGCCTAATGGTGACATTTTACATATATTATGTATATATTTATAATAAATTATCTGCTACATAATATTATTATTGCTACATATTACTACATTACTTAATAAAATTTTTAGAAATCATTATCTTACATCTTTTTTTGAAAAGATATGACCCACCGATCAGCGCCAACCTATTATCTATCGCTTATAAAGTGCTTCTATATGTTATTTTGAAATAATTCGTTATTTTGAAACATAGTACAGTACATAGTACACTGTAACATAAGCATATCAAAGGATGTAATGAAAACACACCAATAAATAGAAGAAGTTAAAGAGAGAAAAGAATAGAGAGATAGAAGTAAAGAGAGAGTATGCTGGAAGATGATCTTTTTATGAAAACACAAATAATATCCTTATCTTGCCAAAGAAGGCAGCTGGGATAGTCATTTTTCTATATCTTTTACAAACGCCCTACCAAAAAAAAACCGCCTTTTTTAATAATGTCCTTAACTCGTAACGCGTAAAAGCTGAGGATCTATATATATAATTTTGTATCAAGAAGTTCAGCCAATGATACCAGGCTAAGGCATAAATCGAAATATAATGTAAAATATTATCCTTGTCCTTGCCATACAGTTTAAAGTCCGTACTCGCCAGTCAGAATCATCTGCAACGCTAAAGTAAAATTTTTCCATACATTATACTAATAAGAGGAAGGAGCGATCTCATTAAAAACTCTTAGAAACGTCTTATTAAAATTTTTTGTTTTTTTTAAGTATATAAATATATTTTCCCTACTTATATTAAATTTTTAATATTTTCTATAAGTTACCTAAAGCTTGAGGTTTCATTCTTGACTCATACTTTTATTTTGTTGCTTATACAATTTTTATTCTATACAAATAATTGTTAATGAAGAAAAAAAATATTTTTAATTTAATTAAGAAATTTTATATAATTTTAAATTCTAATGATTTTTATACATATGATTTAATTATGTGTGTTATAATTTGCATGATTTTGCTTGGGTTATTAATATTAATTATATTTATTAATTTTTTTAAATGAACCATTTAATATCTTTATGAATTAAATTTAATTAATTATTGATTCATTTTCATTTTTAATTTACTTAAAATTTTTGATTTCATTTTTTTCTTTTTTTAATTTTCGTATACATTAGGGTCCTCCTGGCTTAGACGGCATGAAGGTGTGTAAATGTGATGTGATGTAAATGTGATTGAGAACAGAAACACGATTAACGTTTTAAATTTTTTTAATAGGGCGCACAAGGTGAAACAGGACAAAAAGGAGAACGTGGAGATCCTGGTCTGCCGGTAAGTAGCATAATATGGTGAAATGAACCGGGAAGATTACTTCTATAAATCTCTTTACACTGCATGCTATGAAAAATTGCCACACTGTGGGTTTTTAAAATCACTATTTAGATAAAATTATACATTGTTTCTTACACTTTCCCTTCACTTTGTATCAGCTGCCACTAACTCTAAAAACACTTTTTAAATGTTTATGTCTTTGTGTATGTATTTGCACTACAATTTAATTTATGTTAAGGGTACCGATGGCATACCCGGTCAAGAAGGTCCACGCGGTGAAAAAGGTTCACGTGGCGATCCTGGACCACCCGGTAAACGTGGACGCAAAGGTGATCGCGGCGATAAGGGAGAACAAGGTGTGCCCGGTCTGGATGCACCATGTCCACTGGGTTCTGATGGATTGCCATTGCCCGGTTGCGGTTGGCGACCACCCAAGGTTAGCATGTTTATTAGTTTAGCTTAGGTAGAAATTCTAAATTCAATTTCATTTGGTGTTGGTTGTATTATTAACAAAATTTAAAGTCGTTGTAAAAAAATTGCATGTTGAAATTTAATAATGAGAAAAGAGTTAACACTTTTTTATATAACAAAAAGAAAAGAAAATACAAAAAAAAAGATAAAGAAAAATATCTACACATTAACGCTTATGCACACTAATCTAAATTTCTATAGGAGCCCGTAATATCGACACCCGTACACAAAGACTATTTGCCCGATGTAACGGCACCGGAAAGCAATACCAGTGACTATGAGCACGAAGAAGAGGATGAAGCAGAAACAGAGGCTGAAGATGAATACGACGAGTATCAAGAAAATTTACATAATTCCGATTAAACAGAAAAGAATATTGTAGACCACCAAAAATTACAGAAAATTATTGTTGAAAAAGTTGCAGTTGAAAAAGAAAAAAGAAAAAAATTGAAAAAAAATTGAAAAAAAATTTAATAAGAAAGTAAATAAAAAAGGGTTCAAATTACAAGAAGAAAAGGGCCATTTAATACGTAACACAAGCTGCTTAACACAAACATGCGAAAGCGGAGTGGAAGAGGGAGATACTCGTACCGTACCACCTTTCCCAAATGAATTAACTACAGGGTATAACAATGGGATAACAGACAGAACAAGAAGCCAACTGCAATTACAATAACAAATACTCATTATCACTGATTATCATTAAGCTGAACTTGACAATTGTAAATTTATTTTAATTCATAAAAAAAAACGTTAACAAAATACATTGGAAAAACATTTATGAAGTGAAAAAATACGCTTTAATACATTTCATGTTGGCAATTAACAAATTCGAGTTACTTTTCTCAATTTTTACACACTAATTCTCGTAATAAGTATTTAAATAACATTCAAGTAATTTAAAAAGTAGTAGAAAAAGTAGTAAACTTAAATCACGCACAGCAAAACAGCACACAAGCTCTTTGCGCGCACTAACAAACTCTCAACACGGGCATTAAAGGGTTAACAGGCTGTAAACTGTGAACAGTTAACTATAGACTGTAGACTGTAGCGCAAGTAACAAGTAATTTTGCTAATTAATTTTACTCATGCTTTTAATGCTTTTAAATTTAATTTTCCATTGTAAACATAAACATTAACAACAGAAAAAATAAACTATTTTACAGGACAATTTAAAAGAATGGCTAAAGGGCGAGTTCAATGCATTACAAAAACCTACAAAAAACTGAAATTCCACTCCACACGAAGCGGACATAACAGCACATCCCCGACGACTGCTACTCTCCCACCAAAAAACAGCTTTAACGGTGCCAACAAATTATTTAACATTAAATCGAATAGCAAACGATTATTGTACAATACTAATTATATTTTAATTATCTTAGTTGCGCTAATGTTTTAGAATTCACAAAAAATTACAATTATTCGCTAGGCTCTATTAAAGGGAGAAATTAATATAAAATTATTATGCATTAAATTTAGTTAAAATATGTAAGCAATCACTTTATTTTCCACACGCATACACGTATATATGTGTATGTAAATGTTTACCTTTAACTACGTGTTAACAAATACGGTTTCTCCTGCCACAATTCCTACCTCACCCAACACATGTTTTTTATATGGACGATAAAAGTGTCAAAAATTTCATCAAACAACCCGAATTCGCTGTTTCTGTTGTTTTTCGGCGTTGAAGGCATTAAATCACTGACGCTGATGTTGACGTCGATGTTGACGTTGGCGTTGACGTCGGCATAATACAAGCAAAGTTGATTATAACTCGATTTTTGCTAATTTTCATTTTTTTTTTACACTACAAAAACGCACAATTTCTGCTTTATTCGCTTAGTAAATCAATTTTCCATACAAAAAAAAACAACAACAAACAGCAAGAAGCACTTTAATATTCATAAATAAAAACGCGAAACTGCATAAATTTGGCTTATAAATCAATAAATCAATTATTTTCATCAAAGCAATTTGAAATTATTTTCGCGTTCAGTTTTTTTGCTATTTTATATTTAAAATTAACAACAACAACAAAAACGTAGCAAAAATTATTCCGGAACAAACGAAAATGTAATGTTTATTCTGAACGATTTGTATTTGTGTAATAAAAATTATGTTTATTTAATAGTTAATAAGTTTTAAAGTATTTTTTTATAAATAAAAAGTTATTGTATTTAATAAAGTTTAATACAAAAGCAACAAACAAACGAAAACAAAGTAAAACCAAAAAAGATTTTTAATTTTTTTTTTAAGTTTGAATTATGAATTTATAATTATGTAGGTATGTATAAAATTATAATAATAAATTGCAAATCAATTATTTCCATACCACCACTACATCCCGCTTATTTTCACTTCTAAGCTATTATATTATTCTTCAAATTATAGTTAAACAATACCAATTATTCCTTGTAAATAGTGGTCAAATGTTAAAAACCTCTGCTCTCATCTGGTATATAGGTTTTTCGAACACAAACAAACATGCATACGATGTAGTCCATATAGGTATGGTTGGTATAGTCCATTTAGGAAGTAGCGAGCGGCCCTTGGTCGTTGAAATTGACAATTGGCTCCGGACCGTATACCCAACCGCACCTAGAACGTGAACTAACAGTTCTTTACACAGATGGAGCTTCCTCTTCGAGACCACTGTTATACAGCAACAGAATTCTCAACAGGGAAGAGAGACACGTTCCTTGTACAGCGATAACTGCCACACACCAATTGAGATCTAGATACATTCATGTGTTTATTAACAATTACTTGTCACGTATAAATGCGTCAATTCCCATTGAATGCGAAAGTAACAGCTCTAGACTCCATCAGTTTTCATGTCCTAATACAAACACCAATTTGAATTCTAAAGTGACTACGTTTTTTCGTTTTATCTGCTGAATAAATCCCCACGGCAATAACAACAACAACCATAGCTGATCTTTTTTTTATTCGCTATTTATTATTTTATTATTAATGAACAACAGATATTTAACCTTTCGAAAGTGATATCAGAATATCTCTCCTCGTCAGTGGCGTCGCTAGGCGTCAGCGATGTCGGCGACCACCGACGGCCTCGCGCCCGCAGGTGCCTCGCAAAAAGTTACCGACTGTAGATTCTAAGCACTTAATAAATATTTTGAACAATTTGGTTTGATAATGGCATTAACCATATTCAAAGTATTCCCGAATGTTTATATAGTAATCAGATTATGTTCACAGTTCCAGTCAGTATAGCTTCGACGGAAAGAAAGAAGCAAAGTTAAAATTGTTTAAGACGTTTTAGAAAAGTATGATGATCCAAGAGAGACTATCTCCATGGGATATTCTATAAATTGAAGCAAAAATAGCAGCTGGCGCAAATTATGATATAATTTAAAAAAAAAATTGAGAGGCAAAAGATAGGAAAATTTATTTATTTTAATTTGTGTTTATTTTAATTTGATTAGCAATAAAACTTTCAATCATGCTTTGTCGCATTAGTGAATGTAACTTATTTATTTTTACAACTGGGTTATAAAGGGGGCCTTGCAATTCTGATGTCGCCGACGTGCAGAGTTGGTCTAGCTCCGCCACTGCTCCTCGTTGAAAAATTCCTAATATAAGACAGAGGCATGAACTCTCCATACAGTATATTTCTACATTTCCAGTTTAAATGTGGACATAATTACTTTAGTTTCTATAGTATGTGATACCTTAACTGGAAGTAAGGTCAAATACTTTTATACCAAATAGAACCAAAATGTTACCCATATGTAAGCCATATGTATACGGAATCGGTCAAGAAAATATGTTAACGCACAGCACAATAATCATAACCTGGATAGAGAGGAACAATTGTTCTTATAAGTGAAGGTCATAATCTATTGCCTGACCAAAAAATCTTACATTATTTCATAATATTCATATTTTCGGAAGATACAATGGCTATAATATTTTGAGAACATCATACAATATGAAACATTTCACTAGGAATAGTTGAATTATATATAAAAAACCAAGAAGTAACGTAAAAACGATTTATGATTTGCATTATAAGGGTTTATACTACAATCAGGACGCAGTATATAGTAATATAAATATATAAATAAGATGTTGAATATGCTTTAGCCACGGCAGCAGTTTAACACCATATATTAACCAGAGATGTTCGCTAGTAGTTGTGATCAATATTTGAGGAATTTCCTAACCGTTGTTTCTCATCATTTTTTTATTAAAAAAATTACTTTAAAATCAATTTTATTCTTTCAGAAGTTTTAAATGCTTTACATATTTATGCACATTATCCTTGACATACGGTTTAATTGCTATACATGTTGGAATATTTTCCGGCTGTTCAATCCACATTTTATGCTTTACGTTATTCTCCTTAAGTTTATCTGCTAATTTAACTAGTGCGCCTTCATCTTTAGCCTAAGTAAAGAGAAAAAGTTTGTGGAAAAATTATTGGACTGCGCACCATAATTGCACTAACCTCTAGAACAACTTTATGCATGTTATCCATGTCTTTTAAATAAGAAACTGTTTCTTCATCATCTGAGTTGAGATTTATCACAGCAGTTGCAGCGTGGCAGCATTGAGCAATTACAGCACCTATAGGCCAATTTAGAGCAGTTCGTAAGTCACTGCGCACAATTATATACTGTACTATTGTTGACATTTTGTTATAATAAAATCTTTTTTTTTTAATCAAAATTTATTAAATATCCATTTAATAAATATATAAACACTAAAAGAGTGACTGCCGCTTTTGTTTACTACCTCGCGTAGCAATTTTGTGCGATGTTTGCGAATTGTCAAAAACAGCTGTTTTGTTTCGTTGATTTCTTGCGTTCATCACTATTGCGAATGGGCATTCTACATTCAGAGCTTTTATGGAATAAGAAAAAGTTTGAATTTCAGTGAGCTTTTTAAAATTTTCAATTTAATATTTATTAACATTCTTTCATTAATTTTTGAAAAATTTCCTAAATATTTATATTGATTTCACTTATCCACTCATATCCACACATCTGTAACGAAATTGTATTAAAATGAATATCTTAAATTAAAACTCCGTATATTATATAGAAACAGACTCTTCTAAGTAAATAAGATATATAATTTTTAAAACAGCTATTTTATTTTGTTCATATATAGTTAGTATTTTCTAAGTAAATTAAAAATAACCATGAATTTCATATTGTGTAAGTTATTATAGAAACTACATAACTAGTTTAGCTAATATATGTGTATGTATTCTTATGCATATAGAAATTTTATAAGTAGTTATATAAAACTATCAAAAAGACTTAATGTATTATACGTTTCGCTCTTATTCTCAGAGTATATATATGAACTATAACAGTAAAGTTAATAACAATCACTTACTTTAAATTAAATTAAATTTTAGACTAAGTTTACCATTATTTTGGATACTGTCAAATATTTATAGTTAATGAGTTTAATATAAAATAAATTATTTTAAATTGATTTAATTAAAAAGTAAGTAAGTCCAATAGATCTTTGTACACTCAGATTATAGAAGCTTTTTTCAATTGCGGTTTAGACTGTGCTTAACTTGTGAAGCATATTATTGTCGTGACTAGAGTAAGGATTAATACATTAATTAATAGCCACCTTTAAGTATTATATTTGAAATGAAATTTCTAATTAAATCTTGACATAATATTTACTACAGTATCTGCAGTTAAATATTAATCATTTATTTTGTGATGGTATAAAGGTTTTGTTTAAAACAATCCGTTTAGTTTTTGTATTTAAATAAGAAACTAAGTACACCTTCTGATAAGTAATCTTATCTCTGACTTTAATAATGTAAATAATAATGAATTATGAAAATAAATACATATTCTTTAATTATACAATAAAGAAAACAATAATTTAATATTATTTAAATTTAATAAAAATTTAATGCCTATGATTATATATTTCTGGCCATCACTGTAAAATAAACGAATTTTTTATTGTACTTTTAAATAAATAAAGTAATGAGCATTGATTAATTTATTCTATTAAAAATATATTAAGCGTATATTAAATTTAAATTAAATTAATTTAAAAAATAAGAGAAATTACCACTCGAACACCTTCCATAATAAATTTAATTTAATTTGCATTTTTTTTTATATCAACAGAAAATCTCATTAAAAATTCATATGCAAATTTCGTCCAGCCTCTTTCATATACCAGCGTCCGTCTCGTCCCATATTTCTATGCCCGCCCGTATCAATCAATTGCCTTTCAGTTGCTCACACATTCTACATTTGAATTCAACATATTTTGTCAATGCACGTATCTCACTAATCCCACTCCTTGCTGCCCTTTACACTAAGCCGAAGGACAAAACTAAAAAAGGTGCTGTCGCTGCCACTGCCACTGCCATAGCCACAGCCAATACAAAAGCAACAAATGCAAAAACAAAAACAAACACAAACATACATTTAAACAATTACTTGTGCTTTGTCAATGAGATTTGTCTATGAAATTTGAATTGCGTTCAACGTCCACAATCAACAATTCAATGTAATCCTTGAGCTCTTGAGCTGAGTTGAGCTGAGCTGAGGTGTTTCTTTTTTTTTCTTCAATTTTTAAATCCAATTTGTAATTCCAATTTTAATTTTAAATACTAAATAAGGATTTGCAAAAGCACAAGCATGATGTGTGCATTAAATTGCAGACGAGGTTACTACGGTCCAAGAAGACAATGGAAAGAAATTGAAGGATAACTGATTGCAGTTTGTAGTTTGCTAACAAGTAGACCAAAGGACACACAATTAAATTTAAATTAATTCATTTTTTTATGTGTACAAGGCTGTTATACCTTATTTTGTCTTACCGTACAATATGTAATTACAATTAATTTCTTTTTATTTATTAATTAAATATATTTTTAAGGATAAGGTAGAAGTGACTACTATCAGGAACTAAAATCAAATTTTCTTGAAAAAGGATTGTGTTGTGTGGTTTAGTGGATGAATGCATTTTAGTAATTTTATACATAAAAAATGTCAATTAAAGAAAAATACAGTTCAAGGCAATATTGTCACAATTTTTGTTTTATGCATTCATAAAAGTATGAACTTTAGTGCTAGAGGACTTAGTGGTGATTAAGTAACAAGAAGATGATCTCTTCCCAATATCATTTCCATTATTATATTGAGACTAGTTGTGTCAGTGCACTTGAGCGCTTTTACTCTCTATTAACTGCGAGGTTTCTTTATAACCCCTATCTATGTCTTGACTGTATTATTGTTAATCATTTCATCAGACTAAGTAGTAACTGAGCTCAGGTCTGCATACCTCTCCGAGGAGTCTGTAACCATTCTGAGAGTCGATTACGCGGTGTTGGTAAGGCTGTCAGTTTTCGTAAATAATTTCAGGGTTCTATCATTTCTAATTATCGCTTTGATAATATAGACTTATATTCCTATTTGCATATAGATTTTTTTTGTAAATTATAACACACTAATTCGTGTAATAAAATGACTTCAAAGCTTCTTTCTATTCTTCCTTCATTCACCTACGCGGTCCCAATATACGTTTTGTATGACCATTATACGTTGGAATTCCCACACAATTTTGAGAGAAAACTCCTTTTTCACTGTGTTAACTAGACAGTCGAGTCCCTTACTCTACCGCTTGGGTTAAAAGACTGGATGAGTAGCTGTTGTCTTATGTTCGCAGATATCTAACTTGTCGCCGTTATCTCCCTTCTGGTATTCTACCAGAATACCATCAAAGAACTTCTCACTTAGCTTCTACAAGCTCTTTTCCACTACCAAGCATCCCCACTTATTTGCTCTCTTTTTTAATAAAAAGTATTTTTCTTCTTTCTCATTCTTGTTGATTAAACGCGAATATAGCCACCCATTTCATAAGGTATATAAAAAATTTGAAAATCGAAAATACAAAGTTCGTTTTTTTCCATTCATGATTGCTCGAATGTGATTCAGCCAGATTTCATTTCAGATCAGATGTGTAGGGTTTTTTCAAGTCATTCCTAAGAAGTGGTTTTAGTGGGTTCAACTCACACACTATGGCTGTCGATGCTTTCCACCAACGACTATAATAAGAATAATAATTAAGATATTCCGATCCATTTATTAAAGTTTATGTAGCGATATTTCTAAATGCTGGTGCAATTTAGGGAGTTATACCCTATAGAAATGCTTGGGTGCTATGAAATATGTTCCAAAACAGCTATTTTCTTCTCGTTAAATTCGTTGTTTACATGTATCTAAGTACTACAGATATGAAATAAAAATGGTAAATAGACTCTAGGCACGAATAATATATTATGGACTTGAATTTATTTATGTTTTGCTTACTATTATTATCATCAAAGACCAGGCAGCACTGCGACGTAATTAGATCTATTTTCTTACTACAATACTATAGTAAGAATAAGAGTAGAATAAAAATAAAAAAGAATAAGAATATAGTAAGAATAGAATAATGTACTATACAGAATAAAAAACGATTAACTCTAAAACAAACCTAATCTTCATTGAATCATTTATATATATTATATGGACATATAACATATATAATATTGATTTGATCTATTTTAACACATAACCTCAAAATAGATTTTCTTTTTAATACTTTTGTACTAATCTCTTCAACACCTATTTCCATAACTCCCAACACAGATAGAGATTATACAAGTCACGCAAATTCATTTTTATAGTATAATTATTTTTATGTACTATAATTATAATTATAACGTCACTCTCTTCTGAAGTTAAGTTTCAGTTTAGACAAATTAAAACAAATCTATTTTTTTTTTTGGTAATTTAATTAAAATTTATATTTTATCTACACACAAACATTATAATCGATTTAAAACATTTCTATATATTATTTTATTTTTAACATTTAATAAATACACATTACACTTTGTTTTTGCTATTTTAGAGATAAAGTTTTTTCTGGTATATCCGAGGAATATCCAATTTTGATTTTAATTTTTAACATCAAGAAAATTATAAGTATTTTATTTATATCATTTTTAAATACTTTTAATATTAATAATTGATATTCTAAAATTCATCGACGGAGTAACTACAAAAAATACATTTCTTTTGTTTTAGTATTGCATATTTTTCTCAGTGTACTTGAAAGATTCGTTTTATAGACAAATTTAATTGAGAAAATTTTATTAAAATTTAAATAAATTTATATTAACTAATCTATTTTAATTTGATTCTTTATATCAAAAATTAATTGAATTAATTTCATTAAAACACATTGCCGAGTAATGCTGTGTAATCTAAAGGACTTTGGCGCTTTGCTTTTCCTGAATTTCATTCCTTAAGAAATTTTTTTTAGTCAAATTTAGTCGAAAAAATAAATTATAACAAAAAGTTAAGATCGTTAAAATGAGGTTTTGCCAAAAATAAAGTTTCCTGGAGCATTGACATCCTCTGATGAAAAATATTCCTTCCAGAGTGCAGCAAATTGTTCACGAGTAACTTCGGCTTTTCCCTTTTAAAAAAAATAAAAATGTTTGTTTAGAACGAATGGTGAGTTTCAAAAATTAGATAGATCTAAGAAAATTACATACTTGTGACATTTTATTGAATGCCTCTTCACATTCTTTCTTCTCCAAACCATAACTGGAACAGACTAAAGCAAATTCTTGTGCATCAATGCTGCCATCAGTGGATGCATCTTCCAGATCAAACATGAAATTCATGTATTTGGTCTGCCATTCCAGCACAGTACTAGGATCCTTCGCATAAGCATCCCACATATTACACCATTCATCGACTGAAACCTGTTAAGCAATGGAGTATCCAATTAGTATTTCAATAATTTACCAAATGATAGCTTGAAGCGACTTTTAAAGGTCCTACCCTAAATGTCTGAAAACAATTTGCGGCTATAAATTCTCTGCAAATACTTCGGCATAATTTTCACTCCTCAAAACTTTTATTATCCCCACCACAAAAACTATTAGCAGAATTTATGAGAACACCGCAATTGGTCTATTAAACGTTCAGTTTGGAGGCTTCATAATTTATGAACCCGAAGTGAAAGTTCAGGGCTTTATTTCGAACCATTAAAGAACATTAAAATTTTGTACATACAATTTTTCCATTTTTCCATTTTGCCTGGTCAAACTGTGGTAACTAAAGATATAAATTATGAAAATTTTGTTGGCACGATTTGGCAGCCAATATTTTTACCAGCTAAACAATAAAATCGAGCGTCAGGACAAGCAAGGCAAGGACCAAACCCAAGTACAAGAGGGTCAGCGTGTAATGTGGCCGGTAAGGTGAATTCTCAGCCAATTTATGCAGAAAAAACGCCCAAACTTTCTCAAATAAGCGCAGCAGGAGTTAACTGTGTCGATGTTGTTGATGTGGGCTAATAAAATAATTATGTCCCTACAAAAAAACAATCACGAAAATAATAATAAAAAGATGCTTCCCTTCAGTACACGATAAATACCCATTGAAGACTTTGTGAGC